GGGAGCCCCAAGGGGTGATGTAGTACCCCCCCTTCGAGGCGTCCTTCCCTACGACCCTAGCATGGAACAGGTTTTCGAAGACGTGAAGGGGCATGTCCTCGTCTAGAGATACTTCCTTCCAAAGGAAGTAGGTCCCTACAACTTGGCTCCACCCATTTGGAAGGATTTGAGTGGGAGACAATATGAAGGTCCTCAGCACCACCCTAAAGAAAAGGTGCAGAGGCAGACACACACCTGTTTTAAGCAGATACTCACTAAACGCTACGCAATTTGGCCTAGAAAAACAGGCTCTTTCTTGGGGATCAGGAGCTATGAGTTCTACGTAATGGGGAATGTGATAAGTGTTCCTAAGTTCGGCTAGTTTGGAAGAGGTTATATTGGATGGGATCTTGGCTGCCCCCCAAACTGCCTCGTAATCTATTGGCTCCTCAGACATGCTGTACCTCTCGCCTGAAGCCCCAGATATCGACTCCTCCCCACCCCTAATTACTGTGATGGCCAAAGACGCCTCGGTAAACATTGCAAGAAAAAGAAATTTGCATAAAAACTACGAGAATAGTGTCGAAGGTCGGAGAAAATGCTCCTCAAATGAGAATACCTAAATGCACAAGGAAGCTTGCCGGAAAACTCGCCGAAAAAGATTTGACAGCAAGAAAAACTTGAGAGGTTTTGGAGAGTATTTTGCGAAGGTAAAGTTTAAGAATCACAGGGTTCTAGCTTTTATACCAGTAAAGGGCTCAATCCTAGCCATTGGATCGTATCTCAATTAATCTAGGGCGTCCAAAAGTAAGTAGATCTGAGCCATAGATTTCGAACAGTTTATATTTTCGACGCTCCAGATTAACGCGTACATGTACCAGTATAGATCCGCGTGTGAACGTATTCTCCAAAACCACGCGTCCTAATAATTAGTCATCATTATGCATTGAATTCAAACAGTTGTACGGTTATTGGAAGTCGTTTCGATGCAGCCAACTTGCCTTGGAAACATAAGAAACCATCATGTCACGGGCACTAATAACTCTGAATGTCGCCTCGCTTCAAAGGAACCCAACCTCGCCAGTTCGAATATAAACTTGCCTCGCTTCAAAGGAATTCAGCCTTGCCAGTTCAAATATAAACTCGCCTCCCTTCAAAGGAATCCAGCCTCGCCAGTTCGAATATGAACTCGCCTCGCCTCAAAGGAATTCAGCCTCGCCAGTTCGAATATGAACTCGCCTCGCTTCAGCTCCAAGAGAACTTCAGTTTTAAAGACAACTTTCTTAGACTTACCCACCACACTTCTTGAATTCCATGCACAATATGAATATCTCTGCTTGGACTTACGGGACTGATGTGAAGTACAAAAAATTAAAACTTTTTCTGACTTATTGAAAGTCCAAGCATGGCATAAATGACCATACATGGACTTGGGGGACTATTGTTACGAGACATAAATGGAAGCGACACGGGCACCATATTTTAGCAGTGGAACCAGCCTAATTGAATCGGGGTATATTTTCCTAGCCTCCGACGTAGATTCCGAGGCCTTGACTTGTTCCGATGCCATNGTTCGGTGGACATGCACTGTTCGAGACCCTTTTTCGCAGCTAGTGAAGATTCACTCATGATGAAAATCTTTATTTGAATGATTGACGTGGCTTTTGTGTAAAATATATTGGTGTCTTGTCTTATCAATGTAAGAGCATTTAATACTTTGTAAGGCTAGGAGAGTCAATTTGATAGTTAGGACTTGATGTCTTAGTCGAGGAGATGAAGCCACGTGTAAATTGATCTAAAGATCACTATTTGAGTTGTAACACTATAAATACCCCCACCATATAACACGAGAAGGTTAATGAAAATTCTAAATAAATATCTAAATACTTGGAGCAATATCTCTCTCATAAAAACAGTGACTTATCGATTGGTTTCTTATACAATCGCGTTACATTTATCTTACCGGAAGCCTGAACGGAAACGTCTCGTGCCTCTGAGACACTCCCACGTTCATTTTCTGGAGTCAACTTGACCGTTGATCGACATTAACGTGTTGGATCAAGCTTGCGTGTATACGAGTGGACCCGGCATCTGTTGGCAACATTTTTTGGGGTCAACAATGTTAAAACGTAAGGACTGTCTAAGTTCGAGCAATTCAATGTGTTTAAATACGATCGATACTAATTTAGTAAGAATAATCAGTATATATTCGAGTGTTTTTTTTAAAAAAACTATAGATTTTCATGCATGGATCGACTTGTGCTGATATGGGAAAAGATAGATTGCCCGGGTTTGCACCCAGGCTTTGGTGACCGACGCCACATGGCGTCGATTCATTGGAGGGGGGCCAACCCTGGCCCCCTAGCACAGCTCGTGCTGATATAATGTGATTGCAGGTTAAGATCAAGATGGATTACCTCGAAATTCAAAACTGACTTGTTACTGTAGACAAATAATTAGCCACGGAAATATTTCTTAAGGAACTCCTTAATAGTGTCTCACATTCGTTGCTGATATTAACACGGTTTGACTTTATAAGGTGAAGGCAATCCTTTCATAACAATTCGATTTTGTTGGTTGAGTTAGACTCAATATCCTCTCTAATATGGTATCAGAGCAGACCTAGTGTTGCAATGTTGGATGCACTCAATATCGATTTTTTCACAGTTTTGACGTCGTCCACATTGTGCGTAAGGGGATGTATTAGAATCTCATATTGGCTGGTGATATTAACACGATCTATTTAATAAGGTATGGGACAATCCTCCCCTAACAAGCCGATTTTGATAGGTTGAGTTAGGTCCAATATCCTTTCTAATACTCCTTAAATTATATAATGAGCTTTTAAGATAAGAAAATAAAATTTTAATGATAAGTCGTCGTAGGTTAATAGAATTATATAAATCTGTAGATTATTTTGAGGTGAAAATCACATAATTAACACTGTTTTATTATTTTGGCTTTCAACATAGTAATTGCGTGCATTTGGACAATGACTTGCATGTATTGTATTCTCAAATCAATTTCTTAAAATGAAAATAAACACTAAAATCCAAATGAAGAGAGATAATAATGAACAAAGGTGAGGTGGGTGGGGTATAGGGTTGTGTTATCTTGTTTCTAATAAGTCGTCGGGCCCTTATCTTGCTGGCGTAGATTTCTTGTTTTTTTGTTCCTCTCACAATAATGCTTCTAAGACCATGTTTGGCTAAGCTTAAAATAGACATAAAAGTAATTTCCAAGCTTAACCAAAAGCTCTTTAAAAAGAAACCAAAAGAGGCCGCGTCTCGTCCATTTCTCTCTCTCTCTCTCTCTCTCTCTATTTTTTAGCAAGTTGCTCTGTCTATTTTGCTTTTCTTGATTGAAAACCACACACACACACTCACACATGGAAGGCTATTGAATATTGTTGATCATCGATGCAAATCTGGGCTTGATTTTGATTATTTGAAAAAGAGAAAAAATAAATAAATAAATAAAAAGATTGGGTCTTTTTTATATCATTGTTGGTGTTCAAAGCATGGAGGCTAATGAGATTTAACAGTGTTTTCTATTTTTAAAGATTTCTTTTGTTACATTGTTCATGAATTCCGGCTTTTGATTGGAAAAAAGCAAACTTTTGCTTATTCTTTTGAGACTTGTTTCAGTGCTTTAAGCAGTTACTCAAGAAGGCTAACATTTCTAATGGTTTCTGGTTAGTTCTTTCTCTTTAAACCCATGTTCATTCTTTCTTGAATTTTTTGGATTTATATTTATTTCTTTTTCTATTTTTGTAGGGAAATTTTGTTAAACCAAATAGAGATCAGAGATACTAATGTTGAGGAATAAATCTAGAGCAATGACTAGCCCCAGAAATCCCACAACCTCAATTTCATCTTTCTTGGGATCACCAAGATTTTTTTTAACAAAGAACTTATCTGATGCAGAATCAGTAGCCATGAGTCCAACCTCAATTCTTGACACAAAAAACTCATCAAATTCTGCTAACCCTTTTGGCTATGATAAAAATTTGTCCAAATCCTCAATCCCATCTCCTAATTCTTGTAATAAGCAAGACTCGGAAGCCATTGGACTTGCCTTGATTGACTCAATGAATGATGAGAAAAATGGTGGGGATTTTTCAAAGCCAATTAGTAGAATGGTTCTTTTTGGATCAAAACTTAACGTTCAAATTCCAACCCTTATTCCCTCTTCGATTTCTCCAGTCGAAGAATCGCCGAAATCTCCAGCTGATTTTGGAATTAAGACTAGGGATTCTCAGTTGATGAGTCCTTTTTCTAGACTCCCTGTTAAGGATTCTCCTCGGAGTTTTACTAGGCAGCTTTCTTTGAAGGAAATGGAGCTTTCTGAGGACTATACTTGTGTGATCACTCGTGGACCTAATCCAAAAACAACACACATTTTTGATAATTGCATTGTTGAAAGCTGCTGTGAAGATCATCTTAATATGTCTGATAACAATAGGGATTGTGAATTTGAAGCCAATTTTTCAGTTACTCCATCTGTGGATTTTCTCAGTTGTCATACTTGCAAAAACAGTCTTGGAGATGGCAAAGATGATCACTTGTACAGGTTAGTCAAGTTTTTTCCCCTTTGATTCGACTCTGTTTAAGCTTTTAGATCTAGAAACTCTTTTTTCTCTTATATACGAAAATTATGTACGTTTTAGGCAGATGAATCCATCCCGCGAATGAGGACATCTAAGGTTTTAGAATCTATTCAAGTCCAGTGTATCGATAGAAATGATTTACATACATTGAATGGCTAGAATTCAGAAAATTATTGAGCTGAGAAAACTTTGTCTTTGTGCAATGATTTCATGGGAATTCTTTATTTATAAAATTTCAATGATTGTTCTGTTGAACCATAATAGTTTTAATTATTAATGATATCACTAAACAGGATCTTAATTTTCGGCCAAATTTCCTCCTTTAATTTCTTTATTTCTTCAAATGGATTCAATACTTTAAAATTCTTTTTTTTTTTTTTTTTTTCTGGTGCAAAAGTGATTATTTAAGTGACTTATTTTGCCTTTTACAGGGGTGAAAAAGCCTTCTGCAGCCAAGAATGCCGCTGCCAAGAAATGCATTTTGAAGGGACAAAGAATCCAGAGTTAGATGATTCTTTTTAAGGCTTGTTATGCTATAAATTCTCCATGTTTCCCTTTCTTTCCTCCGATGAAAATGGCATCTTTAAATGGATTTTATGTGATAAGTGGGAATAATTTAAACCTAAAAGACTGAAACTTTTCACTCCGATTTTGAAGTTTTCTTTATTTTTTTGTTTTTTCAATATCTCTCTCTTTGAATATATGTATAATCGAGAGGCGTCTACATGTAAAAATTATAGTAATCTATTGCCTATTATCAATATCGTACATTTTACTTGACAAAATCCTCGATCGAAAAGAACTTCGAGTTTACCGTGCACCTAATCGCTTCATGTTCTGTATTTTATCAATCCAGATCGAGAATTGTTATATCATCATTTTTGTATCTTATTGCATTTGTTGCTTTCACTATGTAGTTTTATTGTTTTAATGTGGATGAGATCATCTAAAGATCGTTATCTCTAAGATTAGTTGATTAAATGGACTGTTTCAAGCGAATAATCCAAGAAGTGTCCTTTTCAAGAAAATAATTAAGTCCCAATTAAATTTAAATAAACATAGTAGCTGGTGCCACTGGCCCACCTACATTTGGTAAAAGAGGAATGCTATGGGTATAAGAAATTACCCACCGAAAATGGACAGAATACACGCAACATGTGAACTTCGATTTTTTTAGCAATATTTAATTCATATGGACCCTGCCACTTCATGTGAGTGAAATTTAATATTCCATAGAAAATCTGTATTTTTTTTCCTTGTACTTGCAGCATTTTTCTCGATAAAATTATATTCTGAAAATGACAGAACCATTATCAATTTTGTCCTTCAAGTGGGTTTTATTTTTAAAAAAAGTTAGTGCCCTTGCCCTTGGTTTGGTACAGTGAAATCTCACTATTTTTGAAATATTTAAGCAAGAAAATACAAGCAATAGATACAGCCTATGCTTGAACTCCATACTATTCAAAATACATCCCTTTTTTTTTAATCATATATTTTTCAATAAAATAATATTACAAATAAATCCAAAAGAATTTCCTCTCTTTTATCCACATATTCTTGAAAAAGTCACTATTTCAAAATATATTTTTCCCTAAAATTTGATTTTAATAGAGTCCAAAACAAGGGCAAAAATGACCCTCACAATGAAAGGAAGAAAAATAAAATGCTCAGTCAATTCTTCATAATCAATTCAAATAATCACAATCTAATCATATTAAACTACAAAATAACTATTTAAATTATTTGGCAAATTTGAAATCAATTACATGAATTTTTATTCATCTTCTCAGCATGGCATACAGCATCGAGGTACAGATCGATGCCTTTCTTGGTCACACCAACCTAACCAACGATTACAGTGAAACTCTACGCACTTTAGCAGACCACAATCTTGAACCTGCTCAGATTTCAGGTATGATGGTGTCGCATACCTTAGAACCATCAATCACAAGTACGAGTATTCACCTGTAGAAACACTTTTTACACTAATAATATGAGAAAGCAATTTTCCAGATTAGCTTATTTGATTTTGATTTACTTCATAGCCAATGATGGAACATGACATAATCAAAATGTGACAAACTTAGAGGATACAACATAAAACATAACTAGAAACTTGGACAATGACTTGAAAAATATGGTGTTCCAAATGACACTGCAAACAGAGCACAAAAGATCCACACTGCAAAAAGAGCACAAAAGATCCACGAAACAAAATGCACAACGTTTTTGCTATTATAACAAACAGAACAACCAAAACTACGATGCAACAACAATAATCCAACAAGCTTTGCAGACAACTCCTGCGGATTCTTCTCCAATCAGCTCTCTGCCAGAACTGGTAAACATGCAAAACAACAATATTTAGTGAAGAAATCAGCGATATAATTAACATTGTATAATGATGGTGAAAACCAGGAAATATTACCTGTGAAAAGCTCGGTGTGGTCAACAATCTCCAAAGACTAAAGGCTTTAGAAAGAGAAGTGGGGTAACTTAGAAAAATGGTGGACAACAGAGGACAAGGTGGACTTACAAGAAGAGAGCTCAACATGGATAAAGCCTAACTACTAAAGAGCAGAAGGGAAAATCATTTATCTCTACTTTCCTTCCCATTTTTCATTTAAAAAATCAGAAAAGATGGTGAAAGGGAATGCCACATCTTTGCAAAGCAAAGACACATAAGTTAGATCCTATTTGAAAAACTAGAGAAAAAGAAGAAAAGTGAAGCAGATAAAGGACGGAAGAAGATTGAATGAAATCAGTTAATTAGAAGCCCAGTAAGCTGGTATTTGAATGGAAAAGATTAAGGGAAATCATAGAAGAGGCTAGGTCAAATATCAGGGCTGGGAGAGTTAGTTAACAAGGAATTGTAACAAATTCCTACACAAACTAATCAGATTAGGAACCTAATGTTTATACAACTTGCATATAACAAAAAATCTATATCTAACTGAAAATGAGGGAAAAACTAACAGAATGAACAATTCGATGAGGAACATATACTGAAGGACTGGAAATCAAAACGTCATGTTCAAACAGATCCTCTGTGCAGAACAGAAGATTGAGATTCAATTTGGTGATCATGTAAAAAGGACTAAATTCCAACCATCTATTACCATTTCAACGGATTGCCAGTCATCAGTTACGGCTTCAGCTCCCAAAACCTTTGGCCTCGTTAATATCCATGTTCAACAACCCAAAGACATTATACAGTGCCCAATCAAACCACCATATCAACTTTTCAGATATCGGAGATAGTCAACCAACCAGCCATTACAGCTCTAGCACCAACACCACCAAAATTCCCAAAAACCTAATGAAATCACTACGAACAAGTTTTAAGCTGCAAGCATACTTTATTCATTAAATGTATACATATATTACTCACTCACTTTGCAAAATAAACCAGCTTCCTTATTTACAGGAGCGCTGACTGCTCCCAGCTCATCATTCATCAGTGATATCAAGATTGAGGATGCGACGAAGGGTCTTAGTCGCAGAGTCAGTACCGTCAAACAGATCACTAGGTAAAGGACTACGCCCCCTGGTTGGGGAAGCAGGAGCAGATTTAGCCATAGGGGGCAAATCAAATTCAGGGGCTGCAGTATGCAAGTCAAGTGAAACTGCCCTTTTTGGACGCAGTGAAAATTTTGGCATGGGCAAAGAACTCGGGGGAGGTGAGCAAGAATAAGCAGGTCCAGCCCAACGTTCAGAGAAATGGAAATCATCCCCATAACCCCCCTCTTTGTTATCGAAGTTGATCTTAATTGGGATTGGAATCGTACTGCTTTTCGAGTTCTTTTTCAAGCTGTTGTGGTCTTCATTAACAGAAGTTGTCGGGGTTTTGGGCGAAAATGAAGTGCAAAACTCCCTTTTGCTAGCAGGGTTAGTGGTGCAAGAATTAGGCGGGTTTGGAATTAACCCTGCTCCGGACTGGAAAGCACGGCAATTGATACCACGAGAATTATCAGTAGGCGGGGACCCAAAGGACCCGAATTGAGCCTGGCCATGCTCACGATTTCTACCATAATATTGATGATTCTTGTGATGGGCAACAGCAACTAAAGTTTCCATCTCCTTCAAACCACCTAGATCTATCAGTTTCTTTAACTTCTCACAGATTCACAGATCTTAATTTCTACGATAATTTTAGAAATATCAGAAATTAAAAATAAGGTCTTCAAATTTTAGATCTTCTCCATAACCACCAAAATCTCAGAAAATTGACGCTGATTTTAGTAAATACGACCCATACATCGAACATAAATATGTATTTGTATGTATCCACCAGCACCACCCTCTCACTCTTCAGTTTCTTCAGATCTATCCAAATCACATCAGAAACACCAAAAAAAATGAAAACTGTAACATAAAATACACTCACAATCAAAACGAAATAGAACGATATACTCATTATACAATAAAAAATTGGAAAATGAAATCAAGATGAAGATAAAATACCTGATTATTTGAGTGAAGATTCGTTAGATGGATTTGTTGTTAAGAGTGTATATGAGTTAAAGAGTGAGATCCTTTTTCTATCTCTAAATATGTGTGTATATAAGCGTAGTTGTACGAGACAGTGATTTATAAAGAGCGACCATTATAGGTTTCAGATTTCACAGCTCGAAAGCGCTTTGTTTTTTTCATTTTTAAATTTAAAGCAGATTCCGCGGATCTGAAAAAAATCTCAATTGGATTTAAATGTAGGGCTGGGCAAAATGTCCGAATCGAACTGAACCGAATCGAGCGGGTTTTCTTA